CGCTCTCTGGTTGTAGGATGCAAAGTAGGAATATGACAGGCTAACTTATTGAAACTGATGGCATATTATGACACCGTCATTGTGACCTGACGCAATCATTCAAACCCTATGCGCCATGCATTATGGAGAGTCCGGGAAACAAACTCTTTCAAAAGTATTCCTGAGAACCGAGCCAAGTGGGCGGTGTTGTATTGGCTGGTCTACCCTATTCATAGGCTTGCTACAGATACCTGTGGAGAATTCTCTCTCCCAAGACCAATTTCTTCTTTTGTTATGCTGACTCAACACTGTTGAGCTGACCCATTTCTTAACATACTCTTCGATTCTTCTTTGGGCTAGACTTTACCCTTATTTATATACAATGATCACAAAAGTAGAGCTCNATATTGTTTCTCTAACTCCTTTGGTACTGAAGTATAAGATTATTTTGGAGACGGACATACCGCAAGTCCCAACCTTATTCTCTACAAGATCTCGGGCCTTAAACATATGTAAATTTTGGGAGAACCTTTTAGTACCACATATATACATTTCAGGCCAAAACTGATGTAACACACGACTCACAATCCATTCATCGATAGTGGACTCCCCCACTCGACGCGAAGTCATAGTTCACCTCGTCCGATGGTCCACAATATTAACCTTCACAACTCGCATAAATCAACTAGATTCCAAGGTACGTTGCACCCCCCACATTATTCATTGGGTGATGTCCTTATACGTTTGCATCTTCAGTCAGAATCACACGNGAACTCGCATAAATTAACCAGATTCTAGAGTACGTTGCACCCCCCACATTATTCACTGGGTGATCTCCTTATACGTCCGCATCTTCAGTCAAAATCACATGTTGAGGCAATATTTGAGCATCTCTGGCTCCCTCGCAGTTCATCTGCAGCATCACGAATCGTTGACGCACAACTGATACCGAGAGCACAAGGTCATACACGAGTAGATGCAAAGGAATCTGAGATATAGGTTTCAAGCAAGATCAATGTCGCACGATAAGGAATGAAAGACGTGATATTGTTCCTAAACTTCATAGCTTCTGAGAGATAAGTACAGACGTCTCCGTACTGATCCTTCAGACTCTACTAACCTTGCTCGTGACAAGTGAGACCTCTGTAACCTAATGCTCTGATACCAACTATCACGACCCGAAATTCCCACCTTCGGACCGCGATGGAGCCTAATATTTCACTTTCTAGGCAAGCCAACGTTAAAATAATATTAGCCATTTTAAAACAATTTTTAAATTTATTAATAATAAAGAAACAAATGCGAAAGTAAGGTCTGAAATATAGTGAATAATCCATAAAAATAACGGCGTCTAAATACCATCCCAGAATTGGTGTCACAAGTGCACGAGCTTCTAGAATAATAAAAATAAAGGTCTAAATAAAATAAAGCTGTCTGGAAATAAACACACAGCTAAGGTACAGTAGACGGGG